ATCCAGTGCCTTACTCTTGCCCTGCCCAAGAGCTGCAGGTGTTTTTACTTTCTTCCACAAAAGCCTTACCTAAAACATCTTCATCGCTTCTCTCTACACTTGGTGCATGGTAATTACATTTCCTTTAGTATAAAAGGTACTTGGATTAGCTTTTCAGGATAGTGAAGGGTAAAGTGAGCAATCTGGGTATCCTTTTGTTACTCTCTCTCCTACCTTCAGGAGATATTATTGCATGACTAAAGAAATGGCCATTCACAAGAGACACATTAGTGCTTCACTATAAAAAATACCACCTGGCTGTGTTATGGAGAGGATGTAGAGTTAACAATCCCACTTCGATTATTTTTTTAAAAGGCATGGCTGACTTTATGACCATGAGTAACGTTTTTCCTACAGTCATATGTATGCCAGGCTAAGTGAACTATGTCTCATACTAGAAGTATTGTCCAAGAAGTGGTGTGAATACCTGTTCAGAATAACAATAAAATCAGCTATGGTAACTAGGATTGAGATCTTGCTAATTCCTCTGCTGACAATTTTCATGCTATTGATACATACGGAGGAAAAAACCTCAGTATATTTTTCAAAGTGCTTTTGGTCCTGGTAATAATGGGAAGAGATGAAGTATGTTACAAAAATGACTGGATGGCAGCCTAGCTTGTTGGGGACCATAGCTACATCACAGGAAAATGAGAACAGCCCATAGGCTACTCTGATCTCTTCTCAGATGTACAGAAAGGAACCAGCCTTAGCTCTGAGAAATGTAGCAAGCTTGCCTTTGGCTCCTTCTCAACTTTTATGGCTTAAAAACTAGATAATTCCAAAGCCTTATAGGTTTTTTTTTAATAATTTACATTTTTTGTAATTTTTCCAAGTTTATAGTCATTTTAGAAATGGTAAGTTTACTATACCTTAGTATTTTATTTGATTTTGGAAGTATAAAATCATAGAAGAGAAAGACAAGTCATCAAGTCCACCAAACAAAGATTTCAACAAACTCTGCTGATACACTATCCAGTTAGGCAAAGAGCCCCAGGAAGTCTGCTGTGTAAATACATAGTTTTACAACAGAAATAAGATTTGATTCCATTTTGTACAGGTGTACACTTGAGGCATTTTTGATACATTTTTGGCTTGCACCAAATGGGAGGAAGTACATACATTTTTAATTTTTCATATTTGTTGCTTACAACACTGAATAAAGCACAAATTGCTACAGTAACACTAATATACTTTGGAAATTATTGCAATTATGGGGGAAAATCACTCTAATTTATAAAGCACTTTATAATGATGAAAATTTAGTGAGACAATAAAAGAAAAGATCCTATCCTGTAACCTTTACTCACATTGAACAGCAGATTGAAACAGGAGATTATCATGGGGTGATCAATCCTCTCATGGATCCCACTCTGCTCATTTAAATATCTGCGCATTTTTTTTTTTTTAATGGGAAGTACATTTGTTCTGTTTCATTTTGTTTGCATTTATTTTACCTCTTGCTTGTTTTTCTGCTTCCTAGCTCTGAACTGCCACTCTGAACTGGATAATTGTTCCTTAGGAAATGTTAACAGTTTCTAGTCTCAAGTCAACAGCATTTGTACTTGACCCATATGTGTTATTTTCTCCAATGTGGAAAACAGTAAGAAAAAGAAGCAATTTATACCTACTTCGTTATTTGTTCTCAGAGTTGTAGCAGAAATGTGAATTTCATTTCTGAACATGAAAATTTCAAAATACTAGCAGTAAATGTAGAATATGACTGTGATGACTGCCTGTTTTCAAATACGGTTATACATCTTACATCAGAGCACAGATTTATACAAAGCAAATGTGTTAACATTATTTGGGGTTGGGTGCCTGTTTTCAGAAAATTGCTTACACTGTTTAACTAACCATTTTTATTTTTGAATTAAATCACTCAAATCACTGTAGCAAACCATTTGGACTGTTTAACAGCTTTCTTTGAAGTACTATTGCTTCAAGCATCTAAAGCTAATGAATCCATCTCCTAAAAAAATACATTTGTGGTGGTTGGGGGAGAGCCACTTGCTTTTTAGCTTTTTATGGCATTGCAATCGATATTTTCCAGGCTAATAATAAGAGCAAGTAAGTAGTTGAGGTTCTGGTGTGTTCAACTTAGACCTTCAGGTCTAAGGACTGTGATAAGAAGACCAGGTATCACAGGCTTTGTAATAAAATCCTGCAAACTTGCAAGTTTTTTGTCTGTATTGGGCACGTATTCTTTTCCTTTCTGCACTTCGCTGCAGCATTAAACTGTAAATTTCTTAGGATGAAATATTTAGTTAGCACATGACTTCAATATATAAATGGAACTAACCTTTGTTATTTTACTTGAAATCGTATTTTGGGAAGCTTGGAAACTGAATACCCAGATTTATTCATGGGACAAATTATGTTAATGTTAGAGAATAATGTCAAACACTATGTATATGACCAGCTGTAATAACCACAGATGTCTAAGTCTGATACCCCTGATGAAGATTTATGGTGCTGCCTCTTACTGCTAACTTGGGAGAAAAGAGTGTCTTGATTCTTGAATTGATTTCTCTCCACAAATGTGCTGTGCTGTGATGGCAGATGGCCAAATCAAAACCACTTTAAAATTAAAATTTATGTTAAGATAGAACGTCCAAGAACAAAAGTATTCATCCAAATCATACAAATTTATTGCATTCCCCCAGGGCGTGCTGTAATGGTAGGTAGCTGCTAGCCTTTCAGTCAGCCTGTCCCAACCTTAAGCCCTGCACCATCTAGAAACTTAAAGCAAACCCACATATGAAACTTGTGGACGGAAAAGCAGAAGTCTTTGCAAAGGGTGCAGTTGCCAAAAAAAAGGGGTGCAGATATAAAACGTCAGGGAGTACAAAATATACGTTGAAATACAGTGTTTCCTCTTTTGTCTGCATCAGATAAATGTTTATGTCAGTTCACTGCTGTAAAACCGACTTTATGCATGGTCTGAGTTGAAGTAGAAACACAAAATAAAGACAGCCACAGAGAAGGCAACACTGCTTTATGTTTATTTACTAATGCTTATGAAAGTTGTGAAGGTATAGCAATGCTAAAGATTACCTGCTGCTGGAGCATCTTTTGGGACAAATGATAAGACATAGCATGGAATTTTTAATGGAAAACAGAAATTGAGGGAAAAAAATGAGCTTTCTTCTCACATCCTTGTCTCCTCCAGTGGCCTGTTCATGAAATCTTGGATTGCCTGGTGTAGGGGTAACCACTTATTAATCGAAGCTTTCAATGCTGTAATCCACCTAGAAGAAATGAAAGACTAACAATTGTCTCTGATCAAGTGTTATGCATGCATTTTTATATTCTTTGAAACACAGTTTTTTGTACAGCTGTGTTCCTATGTATGCTGATAGTAAGTGGATTGGAGAGATCCAATGGCAGGAGATGGAGGAGCTGACTATGACAGTAATGTCTTAACACCAGTTTCCAACATACTGAAAAGGTTTGTCCTTTGTTCATTAAATTAAAACCCTAATCCTGTAATTAGTAGGCTTTAGACAAGAAGAAGTCCCACTGACAGATGTGGAATTTGGCTGGATTATGATGAGGGAATTCACCTTCAGAACATGATTTCATAGGCCAATTTTATTTTTTAATTCTAATAATGGTCATTGTTGGAAGAAAATAATTCTTGGGAATGAGGAGGACATACTTTCCATTATCTCTAATGAGAGGTACCATAGCTTTTCTGTTTAGTGTAATCACCCACACATCATTGTGAAAGGCACTTTATCCAGGTTTCTTTCTGAACCTCTGCAAGCCAGCCTTGCTGTAGTTCCAGCATTGAAAATAGCAGAACTGATGACTCACATGTGCCAGCATGTTGTACTGCAGTTTGACTAAAGCTACAATTAAAGGGAAATCTGGGGGAACAAGTGAAAACAGAATGAAAAGTTGTCACTAGATTTTCCCAAGCTACAGTGTTCCTGCTTTCCTAAAGTCTGGCAAATAAAATTGAAAAAAAAAAAAAAAAAGGTTTGATTTACCTTTTGTTTTCATTTACATTCTCCGCACATAAGTAGAAAGTTTTAAATTCTTCAGACGGAGGTTTGAGTTCAATTACAGATCTCTTGGAGCCCAGAGACTGTTCACTCACAGTATACCCCTGTAGGTAAAGGCCACCTGGACAGCATAAAATAGCATGCATCATGTATGTTGCAGATACTATTTATGAAACTACTGCCAATTACAAGCATACCAACAATTCTTGCAAGTTGGATTTTCAGATGCCTTGTGCTGGGTGTTTCAACAGAGTTGTACAGAATTCACATATAAAATATTTTAAAAAGTGAAAGTTCAGTTTTTTTTTCTGAAAATTGATTTGAAAATAGCGTAAAACATACTTCCTGTCCAGCAAATGATCAGCAGTATAGTTTTATTTAGCTTTTCGTTAAATAAGACGTGGCAAAATATTTTTTCTAGCTTTTGAAGTTCTTTTACTTTCCTTTAAAAACTAAAGGGATACGAATTTCAACATTAAAAAAAAATCCTAGTGTCAGCATTGGTTCTTCTTGCGACCATTAGTAACTGGAACGTCATTGCAGGCCACACTAGCCAGCTGTGAAGGAAAGGCATTAGACAAAATTTGGTCTTCATGACGTTTTCACTTTAGCTGTTTTCTGTTGCTTTTTTTTCGCCCCAGACGTCACTTCACTGCAACAATGTATGTGTTCGCTTTATACATACATGGCGAATAGCCAAAAAGACCTGTGGAGCTGATTAACTGCAGCTGAATGTTCCTGTTACTGTCTTCAGTGGCTGTATTTTTTTTTAGCTCTCACATGTAGTGGCAAGAGCATCAAATTAATGCTATAACATTGAGAATGATATGGGGGAGTGAGAATCTACAGTGAAATTGGAAAAAAACAATAGTTGCAATAACAAGAGAATGGATACAAGAATTTGTACATAGTAGAATATTTAAACACCAAAGTGACATATTTAGCAGTAGGAGCGTAGGCTTGGGTGTCATAAATACATAACACTTAATTTTTGCCTTTCCACCAATTAATTGCTTAGCTCTG